CCGTAAAACACAACAAGAAATTTTAACTGTCCCAAGTACACCAACTTTACCAGTCTTCCATTGAAGTTGTTACTACTTCAGTCTACTCTTAACAGTGCCTAGTAGTCGAGACGCCTGGGAATACCGAAATGGCAGCGTGCTCTGAAGCACAGGCCGACTTTGCCAAATGCAGACACACATTGAGGACGTTCAGTTGCTCATTTATTTATACTTTCATTTCGGGGACTTGATGTATAGTGCTGCAAATCCGGTAGTTGGTTACCGACTTTGCCAAATGCAGACACACATTTAGGACGTTCAGTTGCTCATTTGTTTATACTTTCATTTCGGGGACTTTATGTTTAGCGCTGCAAATCCGGTAGTTGGTTCCTGCCCGTTTGTTTCACGTGCCAGCCTCCTTCGTCCTAACTTTGTTGCGCAAATCGCAGGAGATTCGACTTGCTCGGCTTCTTCTGCAAGGAGATTTAAAAAAAACCAAAGGGAGCATACTGGAGAACATGAAAGATGTTTGGTTCTATGAAAGACTTTACTCGTCATGTAATATTAATGGTTAAATTAAATCATGAAGCTGGGCTATAAGAAGTGGCTGAAGGAATATATTTCATTCAGACGACCCAGGTGTGGGGTTTACAAAAAAGAGCTCTTGTGGATTCAACTGGCTGAGGAGATGGTGCTGGGACAGGTTTTGTGATCACAGTAATGGACGTTAAGGTTTCATGAAACACCGTTCATTACTTCATCAGCTCAATAACTCTTTATGACTTTTGTAGGCGTTGACAAAGAAGCATGTAATTTTCCTATTGCAGATTACCGGAGTAGCAAACTTTACAAAGAAGACGCAGATGGCGTTCTGGAAATACTGGAGAAGCAAAACGTGACGTTCAATTCTCACCACAGGTGCATCACAGAGGAGGTTTGATTCTGGACATATTCTCTTCCAATTACGATGATTTTATTAAGAGCTCTGTCTATTACCCTATTCGCTCACACGTCCTTCGACTTTGTCTCCTCCCATGATTATCTTTGTGGTTTTTTGAGATTCAGGGAAGAACATAAAAACAAGTAAGGGTAACGTACAGCAATTATGAACGATTCAAATTCTGAGAATTTTTTGACCTAATAGTTTGTTTTGGACAGTGATACGCTTTTGGGACCCGCATACTTTATGAGATATTTGCACTGAATTTCCTTCCAGAAATTGAAAGAATCTGGTGTGGCAGATCAGTGGCACGTTCTATCAGTCAACAGACACAACGGAAGCGAATTCATATCCAGTTTTGAGCACAAGAAATATCCGTTCTACGGCGTGCAATTTCATCCTGAGAAGAATGCTTTCGAGTGGAAGATCGAATCTATTCCTCACTCAGCCGACGCCATATTGGTAGAACAATTTTATGGGAACTTCCTGGTCAATGAAGGTAAAACCCCAACATGTTTTAATTGGCATTGGTGGAAAGTTTGCACTGTGGTTTTTCTCATGTCGGGAATCTTTGATAAGTAAATGCGCATGCCAATTGGAAAGGATTCTTTATAGTTCTCTTCAAATATAAGATGATGAACAGAGTCCAGAAAATAAATAATACTAATTATATATAGGTCCTATGTGGCTTGCACACGTCCAACACGATTGTAATTACGTTTAAAAATAAGGTTCAATTTATTTTATTAAATTTACTACACTAACATCACACACTAAAATGTGTACTGTATAGAAACAGATATATATATATATATACACACACACACACACACACACACACAAACACTAGGCACAATTTTCCCCCCCCCCTCAAAACGCGATCTATCGAATGACACCCGTTTTCTTACGAAACCCGTATTCAGTGTTGCTTGATGCCTGTTTTATACATTAAAAGTCTCAAGGACTTACATTGGGGTGAGCGGGTAGGCCACAGTCATCGTTCTGCATGAATTGCCCATACGTTTTTTTCGTCTCGAGTCTTAAAAAAATATTTTAACACAACTTTCGGAATTTGTTACGTCAAAAGCGAAGTGGCCATATTAACTTTCATTCCGTTAAAGTTGCTTCATGAGCGTGAGAATTTTCGCTGGATAAGTATCAATTGTTTTTGACTGTTTACATAAACCACAAATGGCCAGCTACAGAGTTTGTTTTGCGGGAAGACACAGCCTGCTGACCTCATAATAAACTGGAGTCTCTTTAAGAGTATAAAAATACTTTCAATATTAAATTATATGTTTATAATTTAACGCGGCCTTTTTATTAGAAATTTATATGTATTGAAATTGGGCCGTTAACGCCCCGAAACAAGTTTCTGACCCCCCCAAGAGACTGCTGCTCCCACTTTGACGAAGGATGTTACGCCAGTATCATTGTCGCACATTTTATAACATTAACACAGTAATTAGCATAAAAATAAGTACACGTACCTTAGATGACGTCATTTCTGCACTAATTGTGTTGCAATTTATTTTTGCATATCCAAATGATTATCAAACGTCTGGGTCTAGTGGTTATCGCTCCTAATTCGTAAATGTGAGTTCCCAGGTTCAGATCTTGGTGCAGAGACCAACTAACGTTATTGAGGTTTTCGTGGTACATCCAGTCAGACCACGTGATGGTACCACGACATATCGTCTCCAGTTAATTCACTAGCAGTCTTACCATTCAGCATTGCGAAATCGAGTTGCTGAAAGTGTCACTAACTAAACCACACATAGATAAAGAATACGTAGGGGAACATTCAATATGTTTCGAATTTTATGACGTATGATTTAAATCCGTATTTTTCAGCTCGGAAAAACAATAATTCCTTGTCCAGCGTTAAAGAAGAGTTGGAAGCAGTGATCTATAACTACCCCGTGACATACACAGGAGATAATACTGTCTTCGAACAGAGTTATTTCTTCACAGATGAACAGCAAGTGTTTACCCCAGCTACAACAACAACAACAACAAC